ACACTGCTAATAATCAGAGTGGAACTGGACTCCTGGCAGACTAGCTCCAGACTGTTTTAATAACTAGAATGAACTCCCATAAAGTATCTCTTTTAATCCTTTTCACAGCCACATCAGGCAGCTGTTTTCTCCATTTTATAGGCTCTGAGAAGAAAATTAATCCAAGGTCAAACAGCTAGAAAGTGGTGGGTCTGAAAATTTCTGGCTACAAATCTCAAGTTCCTAACCTCTACCAGTTTCTGCACTCCACTTGTGGTTTCAGGAAAGGGTCCTTCCAGAGAACTCCAGGTAGAGATGGGGAAAAAACTATGGTAGAGTTGGGGGTTGGGATGAAGGAAGAGGAAGGAAGATAGGGTTTGGGGAGCAGGAACCCCAAGAAAACAGTCATACCTATCTGCAAATGTTTACCAAGAGGATGCCCAATAGCATCCATGGAGGCAAAATCCAAACTCCAAATTTCATGTCACCCACTTTTTCTGATGCCCCAAATTCCACGGACCCAATCCAACCCCTTTTTCTTACGGTTAGGGAAACTGAGGCTCCCACAGTTGATCATTATCACATCATCCTCCTTTCCCAACCCTCCACGCCATAAGATACGGATGTGCTCCTCTACCCACCCCCATGGCTCGGCTGATGTTGTCCATCTTGTTGACGACCTGTTGGAAGAGGGGATAGCAGGTCCGACAGAGGCGCACGGGCCGGGCGCTGCGCACCAGACACCCGGTCAGCTCCGCACTGCTGTTGGCGAAGTCCAGCAGCAGCTCCCGGCACTCGGGATCCAGATCTGGCAGGTCCGGGGGTAGCGACAGTGGTCCAAGCCCTCCGCCCTGCATCAGGGACAGAGACAAGTCCTCCACCTCAAGCAACTGCTGCTCCGACAGGAGGTCGTGGAAGACCCCGTGAGAACTGCTGCCGAAAGGGAGCAAGCCCAGAGCCAGCCCCGACAACAGCAGCAGCACGAGCAGCAGCCTCGGCAGCAGCCACGACCCCCNGAGGGACGCGCGAACCGGCGCAGGCGTTGACTTGTGGGCCCCCGATCCGAGGCTCGCCCACCCAGTGACTACAGGAGTCCTCCACTTTGGACAGTTACATCTCGGGGTCTTGGCCCTTGAACGCCCGCCGCTCTGGGAGTTCCCTGCGTCCTAGAAGTCTGCGGAGTTTCTTCACATCGCTGCGGAATTTTCCTCTGCGGAAATTACCGTCGAGTGAGTTCCCGGAGAAAACCCGCCGGAAGGTGCCTTGGCAGGTTTTTTACTTGCTGTTTCTTGCTATAATTTTTTTCTTCAGCCTATCTGGAAAGAGTAATAACGTCTGTTGATTGTTATTGGTAGTGGGGCTTTGTGCCTTCCAAGCTTTTTCTTTATTTACGTATTTATTGGAATTCAACTGTCTGTGTCGGCGCTGGCCAGTAGAAGTCCTGCAGTGATGGTGGAAGCATCATACGTCTGCGCTGTTAACATGTAGCCACAGGCCACGTGTGGCCCTTGTGCCCTTGGAGTATGGCTACTGCGACTGAGGAACTGAATTTCT